AAAAAAAAGAATATAAAAAAAAAAAACCAAGACAAAATTTTTTTAAAACCTGCATACCTTTACAGCTTGGTTCTTGCAGCTAATGGGGGCATTGTTCAGGACAAGTAATAAGGCATCTTGATATTTGTCTGTGTGAAATGTCAAGGACATAAAAATTCACAGAACAATAATATTTTGTTCAAGTTAAAGAATAGCTTTGAAACTATTAGTTGACATCTTTCTTATTTGTTTCCTTTATCAGAACTCTAATATATTCATGTCTAATTAAGCTTTTAAACCCAATGCTGAACACACAACAGACCATGCTGAGCACCCGTTGTGAGAACAGTGGGCTGACACTGGGGAGAAATATTCCTCAGGCTATGCCGAAGGGAAAAAAAAGTTTGAACCATCTGCCTTGGATTCAAGCTCTGAAAATTACATTTTTGTGTAAGTGAATTTAAAAAACTAATTGAGCTACAGCAACATGTACCGTAGATATATGATATATATACAAACAAAATCTAATTGAACAGATCCCAAACATTTTGCATGATTTCAGGGATCTATTTTTCTGCCTTCTTATTTCAAATCGTCTATTTAATTCATAGCCTCATAGCAGTCAAGGATATCTGGTGAGTAAACTGTTGACTTCACTCTCGTTTGGTCCCTGGTCACCCTGATCCCCATCTTCATCTGCATCTACAAATCTGAGGAAAAGCAAAAAAATGTTGTGAGTACACAAGGAATTTTTTTTTAATAAATGAAACCCTAGGAAGCAATTCTTTGGAAGGAGTTCCGCAGAGGACCAGCCGACCAACATCATCTAACCCTAACCCAAATATGGGGTGCCCATTGTGGATGGTAACCCCAAACATTAGAGTTCGAAAGCAGGTCAACTTTCAAGTGCAAGTGTAGTATTTGAATAGGCCTATAGTTTAACAACTTTAAAATCAGGATTTTTTTTTAAAACAGGATTGCATAGCAATTCCAGTTCAGGCCCAATTATAGTTTCTAAATTTTGTAGGGCCAAGTTATAATATTTTATAATAAAAAAGCCTACCCTCTGAAAACAATTTAAAAAGCGACTAGCCTAAAGAGTAAAGAGCACTAGACTGAGAGATATATAGCCATCAAAGAAGGAAAATCTGTCACCAATATGAATGTCTTTATTCCTTCATCTCATAACAGCCTGTAGTATTCTTATTCTTTTATTTATAGCCTAGGTCAATGAGATACAGTCTTCTATGATAACCTGGCCTGAATCTAGGCATTATCTATAATTTATAGACTAGCTAGATCTAGATCTAATTACAAGTTTCAATATCATCACAGTTCCTCAAAAACATTCAATGCACAGGCTGGACCTGTAAATCGTTAGTCATCATGAAAAACACTACAGTGTCAGTGATCATTTCAGAATCTTCTTCCTTGTCACAATGACTGAAAACTGTCACTGAACTGCCCAGTGCCAGTAAGGTAGTGTTGTATTAGTTATAGATCTCTGTCCTTTTTACAGTGAGATTCCTCCTCCTGTTTTATTCCTATCCATTCAACTTCACTCAGCTGATACAAGCAGTCAAGTATCCCCTTACTTGATGCTAAATCCCAGAAAAGAACAACTTATCCATAAGTTCACAAGAAGACTATGGGACATTCGGATGTTTGGCTATGAGTGGGTGTGACTCGAGCACTGATGACTACTGAACAAACACAGCAGGTGTGTCGTAGATCTCGTCAATGATGTCCACTGGAGAGCAAGATCTCTGAACAAACAATTCTGCTACTGATACAGACTTAAAGTGGGTAGAAACTCAACCTTTTAAAGTAATTACCTGTCCTCATCATACTGATCCACATCAACTTTTCTGAACTTGCTTGAGCCGGTATTTTTCGCCATTGTGTTTCTGTATCCTGAGCCTCTATCACGAAGTCTTCTGATTTGCTCGCTTCCTCATCCACCCCGGAAGTGACAACGGATACACCGCTATTTGTACACCATTATTGTGGAAGTAGTATCTACATTTATTGAGCTATTTATCCCTGTATGAGCAATTACAATATACTTATCCTCCTTGGTGCATCAAATTAAAATATAAAATTTACTCTAATAGTTATACAAATTTCAATAGTGCTGATTCATATTCACAGTGCAAATAGAAAATAGCGGAAGTCAAACTTGGCTACTTACCAGGTCTTTCTTTTCCAGGTTTACTGCCGATCAAAATGGTAAGAGGGGTTATGCATCTTTCTGAATCCGTGATACTAGAGTCTTAAGATCTACATTTTATAACTGTATCGCTTGTATGGGCCTATTACCATTTATCTGATTCAATATTTTTGTAATCAACGTATGATTGTTGACTCCTGCGTTTCTGATCGCCTCACAAATGACTTGTACCTATTACCGACAACCCAACCAACCACATCGAAGTCATCAAACATTTTTAATTTTGTATTTACTTCAGATTATTATTTTCTGTACGTTCAACATTTTGAAAAGTTTCTGTTTAGACGTTTATACGCTGTCACCCTACTTACTGGTGTGTTTTTGTTTCGCAGCCTACCTTTTCTCCCATCATGTTCATGAAACGTATTGACTCTTGTCTGCAACCACCACACTTGACTTCATCTGTTGTTTTGTTATTCGGCCCTGCCCCTGCCCATCGCCCAGGCCAGAGTCAAAGTGGAATCGTGAAAGTTCCATTTGCCATGGCCAAGGGGATTTCATTGTTCTTTCTTTCAGTGTGGTTCTTTTTCGTGACACTAATCTATTTACGGAAGGACTTCCAGAACGAGCCACCACCCCAACAAACACAATATCAATAAGAACTTATTATTAACCCTAGAAGCACTCAGAGTTTCACCGGAAGTAGCCCGCCAAAAATGCCCC